TGATCCTTTTAAAGTAAAAGCGAAGTAGTGCGTACAAAAACTTCCAATAAATTCTAAAGTCGATAGTAGATAATGGCAAAACTCACTGAAGATGTCGACTACGATGCCGGTGAAACGTTTGAGAATGCACCAAGTACACTTTCCGATGCTGGGAATCATGACAACTATTATGGCGGATAACTTTGCACTAGGTGCTTTCTATTAAGCCCCCCTGACGACAAGACCAAGTTGCGACAACAAGGTCAACCCAATTCCACAATCAAGTCTTTCTTTACGTTTTTTTAAGTAAGAGCACCTGCTTGTCAATCTTTACTTCAAAGGTGCTGTCGATGTATTGTTATTCTATGATGACTGTTTGGATTGTTATCTGATAGTTCTGCTCTTTATTCAATATTTTTGCTTAAATAAATTCATCTGCTAATAGCTCTTACTTTAAGTGCGTTTGTTGTTTCGCTTCATTCAAAATTTCTCTTGCTTTGAGCACTTATTAATCTATATTACGTTGCCTCATTTATCTCTGCAATACCACTATATGGCATCCTCATCATCCCCAGTTTTAGAGTAGTTAATTTTTGAAAAGCTAATTTATACTAACTGTCGTACTTTGCAAATAGTCGTCAAGCCTCTTTTAGTATCCACACCATATCATAAGTGAGAGGGGATCAATGCCACTACCTAGTTGGCCGTCATCGATACTCTGAAGATACCTTGTTTTTCATTTCTTCAACGAATTTCTCTGATCATTGATTATGTTGTCAACTACGGTCACTTATTTTGAGATACCTCATTCTAAGTTTTAGCCAATCTTTTAACCCATCCCATAAAACCATGTTATTCTGTTGTTTGGATTACATATAAGGTAGTGGGATCGTTTTATTCCTTTGGTTAAGGCTCTATATGCTTTCAGGCCACTATCCTATCGAGATGAGCAGATTCTCGGGCAAGCCAGTCAAAAAGGTTGGTCTAGGCCAAACGACTGTCAAAAGGCCCATTTTATCCGGTGCAAAACAGCGAGTTCCCATCAATCCGGTTCCTTCTTGGCCAGAGACAACGGTCAGCTCCATAGGACCTACTACTTCTTTTGTCAATAATATTAGTATTGGTGGTGGAGATGATAAATCGACCACTTATCCGGTTGTGCCACTAATGCAGATATGGAGCAGCTTAGAAGACCGTCTGCGTGCCGACCTGGATGCTGCCGAGGCTTGGTCGTCAGATGGCGATAGCGTTTCTTCAAGTAGTGGTGACGAGCAGCTAGGCGCCAGGCCGGTCATCAGTCCCCATGCGTCGCCGCCAGATAATGATGATCACGATCCTAATGATGTAACCAGCTACGAGGAGCCTGAAAATGACGAGATGGAAGCGAGAGAAGAAAACGATAAGTATAAGTCATGCTATTTTACCACTGGAGTGACTCCTTCACCGGCTCCTAAATCAATATTATCTCATATTTGCGCTACTCAAAAGAAATTAACAATCAGTCAAACAACCGAGCAGGATTCTGAGGAAGAGCAGGGTACCGGATCTAAAGGAGATGGCAAAGTTCGGCTTTCTATATTGAACGGTGGTTCTTTGAATAGACAACGCAACTCCGCCCATTTGTTGAGGTGAGCCCGAATCCGATTTAGTCAATTGATTTTTACTTGCACTGGTATGCTATTAAGATGGATGCAAATCTTCGAAAGTTTCTTATAAGTATAGTCTTTGGAGATTCTCATGATGAATTTTAATGTCATTCATTTATCATAATTTATAATCTTTCACATTCTAACTATGCTTTTGCGTAATTCGTATATGTTACTACCTGAATTCAGGAGATGAAAAGTAATCTTATCTAGCGGTATATCAAGACCTATACTTCTTTTCATTTATCTAAACTTTATTATTCTAA